AAAATTAATTCATTTATCTTAATAATTCCATTTGATATTAATTACCGTAAAATCTTAATGAAAACCCGTTCTCATAAAAGGCGAGTGCACTGGGAAATTCGTGGAGAATTCACAGAATCTCCTGATTCCTTTAATTACCTTAAATATAATAAACGGCAATTCTTTAATTTATATTTCAACACCATTTATTCCTATTCATGACACACAGAAAACAAATTTTTGCGTGTTCCAGTTTCTTCAGTTATAACTGCTCCTTCTGGGTTGGTGACAACAACCGCGAACTTCATCCCTTTGCGGTTGGGTTTTCCAAGTTTTTTTCCGAGTTTCAAGAAATCTATTTCTTACTCTAAAAAATTAAGTAAATAATTAATTCAAGTGATTTAATAATTTCCTTCGTTGAATAATGATTTTAAGATAATTAGAATCAATATTAAATAAATATTCCCAACAATAAATATTCATGTCAGATAGATGTAGCCTATCAATAAATGAACATGGATCACAAGAGTATATAATAAACTTATGATTCGTTTCTGCTAGCATTTAAAGATTCAGACTATGAGGTCGATAGTCAATAAATAATTGACGAAGCTATTCAACACTTTTTTCAGGACTTGAATTTTGTAGAATTTTATTAATCATTCAGATTATTGACATTATTAGATTGTAAGTTAATAAAATTATAAGCTCCTGAATAATCAGTATGTCATTATTTAGTAACTGAGGAAATTGTAATAAATATGTTGATTTTCTTATTTTGGGTTGAAAGTTGAAAATACAATGAATTCTTAAGCCCTTTATAGTTTTTTGTTCGAATTGTCATTTTTACATTTAATGTTAGTTTTGCGAATCGCCATTTTTACGAATTGTCACTTTTGCGAATAGTGATGTTTGCGAAATATCATTTTTACGAATTGTCATATTTACGAATATAGTTATTGTTCCGAAATGTCATTCTTTCGAATTGTCAGTTTTACGAAATGTTTTTACGAATTGTCACTTTAGCGAAAACTCATTTTTTCGAATTGTGACAATTCGTAACAGTGACATTTCGTAAAAATGACAATTCGAAAAAATGTCAGTTCGCATATAAATGCCAATTCGTAAAAATGATATTTCGCAAAAATGACTTTTCGCAAAAATGACAATTCGTAAAAATGTCGATTCGCAAAAGTGACATTTCGTAAAAATGAAAATTCGAAAAAATGACGTTTCGGAACAATAACTATTCGTAAAAATGACAATTCGTAAAAATGATATTTCGCAAAAATGACTTTTCGCAAAAGTGACAATTCGTAAAAATGTCGATTCGCAAAAGTGACATTTCGTAAAATAAAAATTCGAAAAAATGACGTTTCGGAACAATAACTATTCGTAAAAATGATATTTCGCAAACATCACTATTCGCAAAAGTGACAATTCGTCAAAATGGCGATTCGCAAAAATGATGATTCGCAAAAGTGACATTTCGTTAAAATAACATTTCGGACAAATGCAATTCGGTAAAATGACAGTTCGGTCAAATGACATTTGGGAAATAATCATGCGCCTCACGCTGACCCGTCTTTAGGCACAAAGTAATTGTAAAATTAATCGAAAACATCAATTACTATTTTTTCATATAGAATTTAAAATTTTCGAACATTTCACATTCAAACCATTTAAAATTTAATAACTTAAAAGAATATTATTATAAAACATCAATATATTTTATATTATAAGAATTATTCGGAAATTCTTCAATTAAATAAAAATTAAAAAATAGAAACTTCAAATTATTTCAAAAGAAATCTATTAAACTTTATTAAAAAAATAATTCTACACAATTATTGTAGTTAAAATGTACGAAAAATTCAAAGTTTCAAAAATTTTAATTTGAAAATTCTACGAAAATTCAATTATTTAAATACAAAAATAAATAATTTATTGAATAATTGAATGTTTCTTAAAACTGAAACAAAAATAGAATTTTATTAAAATTTTTGCAAAATTGCATTTTTTGAGAAATTTATATTAATTTTTATTAGAAAATTCAACGAGAATTCAATTATTTAACTATATAAAAAAATAATTTATTAAATATAATTTAATGTTTCTTAAAATTGTACTAAAAGTAATTAAAATTCTACTATGAGTTTTGTTCATATTAATAAGAAAAATAATTGAATTCCTAAAAAAGAATTATATTATTTATAAAAATAATTGAATTATTGCGAAGAAATGTATAAAAAATTTGTAAATAATTGAATCCCAGTAGAATTTTTACTATATTTATGAAAATAATTAAATAATGTTTGCGCGGAATTTTGTTATTTAAAAAAAAAAAAATTTAACAAAATTCCACGCAAACATTTAATTATTTTTTTGGAAAATTTTATTAAAATGATAATTAAATTTTAAAGCAGAATGTTATTATTTATAAAGGTAATTGAAATTTTGACCTATATTTTAAAAAATTTTTTAACATAATTCAATTTTTGCGACAAATTTGATTACTTTTGAAAATAATTGAATTTCTGATATTATTTTTAACTTTTCTAAAAAAAAATTAAATTATTTTAGTGCTTTAAACTAAAATTCATATTTAAATTTATTTTTTATTCATTTATTTTTATTTATATCTAATAATTTATTGAATTCGATTAAATTTGTATTAAAAATATAATTGCAAATTGTTAAGCAAATTACAAAATTTTTTATTTTCAAATATAAATTTTTTATATAATTTCATAATCAAAATTTAAAAAATTTACTTATTAAATACAAAATTAATTATTACTGTTCATATTTTCAAAATTTTTTTAAAAATGTCACGAAAGAATTCAATTATTTTCTAAAATTTTAATAAATTTTTCTAAACAATTCAATTATTTTTTTAAATAGTAAAATTCTTCACAAGAGTTCAATGATTTTCAAAACAATTTTAATTGAATTTCTCGGAAAAATTCAATTTTTAAAAAATTTTTCAGCACATTTCGAAAAAAAATTCAATTTTTTCTAAAATTTTAATAAATCCTTCGAAAAAATTCAATTATTTTTATAAATAGTAAAATTCATCACAAGAATTCAATTAATTTTATATTAAGTAAAATTCTTTGCAGGAATTCAATTATTTTCAAAACAATTTTAATTGAATTTCTCCTATGAATTCAAATATTTTTCAATATTTCCTAAAATTTTGATATAGTATTCGAAGCAATTCAACTATTTTTATAAATACAAAAATTCTTTGCAGAAATTAAATTATTTTTAATCAAATTTAAATAAAATTACATGAAAGAATTTAAATATTTTTAAAAATTTTCATAAAATGCATTTTCAACAAGAATTTAAAATTCTCTACTTAATTTTAATAAAACTCTTTAAAGAAATTCAATTATTTTCAAATATTTCTTTAAAATTCTTCATAAAAATTTAATTATTTTTAAAAATGTTATAATAAATTCTTCGAAATATTTCAATTATTTTTATAAATAGTAACATTTTTCGCAATAATTCAATTATTTTTATAAATATAGTAAAATCCTTTGCAGAAATTCAATTCTTTTCAAAACAATTTTAATAGAATTCCTCCAAAGAATTTAAATTCTCAAATATTAACGTAAAATTCATTTATTTTCTAAAATTTTAATAAATTCTTCGGAACAATTAAATTATTTTTATAATTATAGAAAAATTCTTCGCAAGAATTCAATTATTTTCAATACAATTTTAATAAAATTCTTCTTCATAAAATTCAATTACTTTCAAAATTTTCAATTAAAATTATTAAAGAAACTCCATTGGTTTAAAAAAAATTTAAAGAAATTCTTCAAAAGAATTTAATTAGGATTTTTAAAAATTTTAATAAATTTCTTTGCGAGAATTCAGTTATTTTCCTAAATAATAAAATTCTTTGAAGGAATTCTATTATCATCAAATTTTTTGATAAAATTCTTCGCAACAATTCGATGATTTTCAATACATTAATTTTAAAATTAAAAATATTTGAAAAGAAAAATTATTAAAAAAAAAAAATTTTTTTTTATAAAAAAGTTAGGAAATAAAAAAACCTAGAATTTTTTTCACTTCTCTTCATTAAAAGACTAAAATTTTGTTAAATATTATGTTTTGTCCAATTGAAATTATGCAGATTTTCGTTCTTCACTTCTAAAATTAGAAAATTGTTCGACAACTGTGATTAAGAAATAGAAAATTTATTTATTCTGCATTATTTTTGTTTATGAATCACAATTTTTTTAACAAAATTATTATTTTTTTTTAGAAAAAGAAGAAAAATATTTGCACAATTCCTATTTTTAATCTTATTTTTGGAGCAGAATTTTTCACCTAGAAATTAAGACATTCAAAAATTTTAAATTCAAACCTTTTTTAAGTTAAACAATTTATAATAATTAAAGATGACCGAGAGATAAAATCATTATTTTATATTATAAGAATATTGTTATTGTAACTTCATCAAAATTATTTTCATCATTTTAATTAAATTATTAATTTCTAGAATTTTAAATTATTTTTTATGAAAATAATAATTGAATTCCTTAAAAAATTTTATTAGTTATGAAAATAATTGAATTCGTTGTCAAATTTTAATTATTTTATGAATATAATTAAATGTTTGCATACAATTTTATTAAAATTTTTTGAAAATAATTGGATTCTTTTTGTGAAATTTTATGAAAATAGATATTGAAAATCATGGAAATTAGAAAAATGCATTTTATTTTTGAAAATAATTGAAATTAGGACAAGAATTTATTTTGACATTTATGAAAATAATTGAATTTTGGAGAAGAATTTTGTTATTTATAAAGACAATTAGGATTTTTACGAGAATTTTTTTAAAATTTTGAACATAGTTGAATTTTATAAGAATTTTTTTTTTTTTTTTTTGAAAATAATTGAATTTTTGCAATTATTTGTAATTTTTTTAAAATTGAATTTTTTTTAATGTTTTCAACAGAAATTTAAATTGGAAAATTTTTATTTTACTGTTTCAGGTGTGCGGAAGGCTTCACAGGTCTACGGTGTGAGACGAAAGATGTCATCAGTACTGGAAGTGTGTACAATCGCCATAGAGCACCATTTTCGTGTAAACTAGGTCTCTCAACCTCATACTACTGCTAGCGACAGTATCGTTGGAGTCAAATAAGTAAATTAATACTTATAGTGCTCCTATGCGAAACTAACGAAATCGTCTTCGTATAGAACCGTTAAATAAGCGCTATTAAATAATCAATAAGTGAAGAAAAAAAGAGCGCAATTTTCATTGATGCTGCCATATTCGTAATAATATGCATATTGGGCATTAACAGTTTAATAAATGAAAGGTCATTCTTGGGCTTTATATGTAACGTATCATTACGTAGCATTACGTATCATTACGTAGCAGAACGAACCGAGTTTACCTCTTATTAGGGAAATATCATCTTCTACTATATAAGGAATCTCTTCTTCCTTTGTACATTTTTTTTTTATTATTCAGAAATGAGGAAAGGGACCCAAAAATTGGCATTTCCTCATTTTTTAATTTTTTTCTGAGTACTTTTGAAATGTCTCGAAATATAACACACATGACAAAAAAAATAATAATTTGGAGATAATAATTTTGTAAAAAAATTTGGAAAAAGCGTTGATTCTTTATTATTCTGTGGGATTATGAAAAATGATCCTTTTCTGATTTCTTAATTTTTGCCTTTGCATACTCTAGTCTCTACTACTTGGATCATATGCTCCAATTGAATCACATTCCGATTCCACAATGACTGATTAAATCACACATCATACTTTTTTGCTATAATCCCGGCTTTCAAATGTATTTAAAAATTTTTTTTTTTACTTAAAATCCGCTACCAGAATCAATAAATCATTATATCATTTTTTGTTTTTCTGCTGTAGATTTTTGCTTTAGAAAAGACATTTTGAATTTTACGTCTCGAAACTTTTTGCGCAGAATAATAAAGAATCAGAAAAAAAGGAGGCTTCGAATTGATGGATTCGTTTTTTCCCATTTTTTGTGAATTTTATATTTCCTAACATATCTAATCGTTGATTATTGTGGCATTTGAAAATCAAATAATTTAGTATCGAGTGTAAATTTTCTAATAGCAAAAACATTTTCGTGAAGTTGATACAAAAAATTATTTTTGAAGAAACAAGAATATTTTTTCATTTTCTTTTATTAAAGTTTCCAATAGTCAACGATGGTATGAACATTGTCGTAAATTATGTTATAAAGTCGATGACAGTGCTCAAAATAAATAGATTTTGTAGAGTCAATACCCTACGAATGGGTGTTTTTTTTTATTAGCAAGTTCAATTTCGTGCGTATGCGATGAACCTCGTTCTTAATTTTTATTAATTATTATCGTTTCTACAGAAAGTAATGCCAAAGAATTCCCAGTCTCAATCCTTCGAAATTTAGACTCAAAATTAGTCAAAATGATCGTTTTTAATTTCTCTCTCTCTCTCTCTCTATCTCTCTCTATCTCTCTCTATCTTGTGAAGCTAGTCAACCGAAAAAATTCTTCAAAGCATCTATTTTGAGTCTAGTTTATAGGAATAGCCAAAAAAAAAGAAAAAATAAAGTTTTATCACTATTTTTAAATAATAAACAAGTATTAATGTTTTTAAGAGTGATGACAATTTTTTTTTTAATTTCAATTTGCATTTGCAGTGGAAAATTAAAGACTTGTTTTTCTAATACATGTTCGTAAAGTAATGAATTTTTAAATTTAATTTATTTAAACTTTCTATTTTTGTAATAAAGTTTGCTAAGAAAAAAAAACGATATTTAGTCATGCAGTCATTATGCTGCATTCATCAATTATTATGCAATCATTATCACATTTTGAAGGCTTTCAGTCAATTTTTTTAAAATTTTAATATTTTAATTTTTTAATTTCATTGGAAAATTAAAGACTTTTTAAATACATGTTCGTAAAGTAATGAATTTTTAAATTTAATTTATGTAAACTTTCTATTTTTGTAAAAAAAAATTGTTCCGGACAAGAATGATTGAATAATTTTTAACAATTAGAAAGTAAACTACCTTTTTTTAAATCTTCTCTTGATGTTGATGTAAATTTTTTAGTGCCTTAAATATTATTAAAATATTTAAAAATTGTTGTGGATAAATATAGAAAAATTTTATTCTCTTTTCGTAACTATTTCAAATTATACAAGTAAAGCATAATATATAAATAGCATAGATGGGTGAAAAAATTGTTAAAATATTTTTTATACTTAAAATTTGAAAGAATTCCAGGAGAAAAATAAAAATTCAATAAAGTCATAAGAACTATGTCCAAAAACAAAAATTCACAATCGTACGAAAAACCTCATCAAGTTTTCAAACATCAAGTTTAAAAATTCTGCTTCCAAAATATTGTGAAGTGGATTTTTTTCCCCCAACCAAAAGAAAACAATGGGAAAATAAAAATTATTCACTCTTTTGAAGTTGATCGATTTCTAAACAAAAAATTTTTTTTCATTGAATAAATTGTAGGAAAAAAAAACTCGAAAACAATGGAAAAATAGTAGTTATTTACATTTACTTTTGCGATAAAGAATTTTTTATTAGACTGCGAAACGCTACAAAAACAAAAAAATAGAAGAAGGATACTAAATTTTAATCAATTTCTTGGAATTTATCGTCTATTCAAAAAAAAAAATTTTTATTTGGAAACTGATAAATTTCAATCATTTCAATAAAGTAAATAATTTTTATTTTCTCAATTTTTTTTTCAGTTTTTGACAAAAGTTTATAAAATGTAAATTTCTTTCTCAAAAATCGATAGAGTTTAAAAGAGTGAAGAATTTTTATTTTCCCTACAAAATTTTCGAGTTTTTACCCACAGTTTGAAAAATAAAAAATTTCTTATTTTCAAAAACTGCTAAATTTCATGAAAATATAAAAATTTTTTCATTTTCCGTTTTAGTATTTTTGCCTGAAGTTAAAAAAAATTTTTTAATCTGATTTTTAAGGAATTGAATAATTGTTTTTTCTAATATTTTCATTTTTTGCTAGGTATCAATTCAAAAAAAAAATTTCTTAAACCACATAAATTTCTGTTTTTCTTCTAATATTATATTTTTTGCTATCAGTTCAGAAAAAGAAAAATTTTTATTTGAAAAATTCATAAATTATAAGCATTTAAATGATTTTTTTCCTAAAATTGTTTTCGCGTTTATTCCTGCAGTTCAATGAATGAAAAATTTATTATTAGAAAACCAATAAATTTTAATATAGTAAGTAAATTTTAATTCAATAAAAATTTATCGATTTTGAAATTAAAAAAAAAAAAATTTTTTTCATTGAACTACTGGAAAAAAAATGGAATTTATGGATTTTTAAACACATTTTCGAATTTTTGCCAGCAATTTATAAAATAAACTTCAGAAGAGTGAATTATTTTTATTTGACCCAGCACAGTCTTCGAGTTTTTACCAACAATTTAAAAAATAAAAAATTTCTCACTCAAAAATCGCGAAAATGCATGAAAATAAATTATTTCATTTTCCTGACTGTTTTAGTGTTTTTGCCTGAAGTTAAAAAATTTTAAACCTGATAAATATTAAGAAATTGAAGAATTACTGTTTTTTCTAATTTTTTTTCCATCAGATAAAAAATTTTTTTTTTTTAACCGAATAAATTCTCATAAACTGAAAAACTTGTTTATATTCTAATTTAAGAATTTTTGCCAGTTGTTCAAAAACAGAAAAATTTTAATTTTAAAGATCCGTAAATTCTAAGAATTTAAATGATTTTTTTCCAAAATTGATTTCGAGTTAATTTTCGTACAGTTCAATGAATAAAAAATTTATTATTTGACAACCGATCAATTTTAATACGGTAAATAATTTTTAATTTACTATTATTGAATTTTATTGGTTTTGAAATAAAAATTTTACTTTCATTGAACTACGGGTAAAATACCGAAATTAATTTTCAAAAAAAACATCATTAGCATCCTTGGAATTTATGAATTTTTAAAATAAATTATCGAGTTTTTTCCAGAAGTTCATAAAATGAAAAATTTATTTATTTGAAACTCAATAAACTGCAGAAGTAGTTAATAATTTTTATTTTTGAGTTTTTGCATAAGATAAAAAAATTTTTTATTAAAAATTAGATGAAAATAAGGAATTTTTATTTTTTCCACTGTTTTTGAATTTCGGCGACAGTTTTTAAAAAAAAATATTAAAACCAAAAAAATTTCAAAGAAATATTAAAAGATTTATTTAAAAAGTTCTTTTAAACCGGACAAATTTTGACAAATTTAATAAATTTTATTTTATTACCAGTTTTTTTCTGCACTTAAGAAAAAAATTAAAATTTTATTTATATAAAAATCCATAGATTCTAAAATTGTAAATTTTTTAAACGTAATGTTAAATAAGCTCATGCGATTTTATTCATTGTAAATTTATTATTGGACATAATTCTTATGACCTCATTCATTTTCACTCGACACATGAAATTTTATTTCACTTTTTTATATTTCTAATCAATTATTGCCAATGAAGAAAGAGATGAAAATTATGAATTCAAAATTGCAGAAATCAATTATTTATTTCTTCAAAAAAAAAAAAAAAAAAAAAAAAAAGAAAGGAGAAGAAGGAAAAAATGTGAAAATAGCATAAACTGAAATGCCTTCATTTATACTAGTCTCCTCGATTGCTTTCAACCTCAAACGATTTATCACTATAACTTTGCTTGTCTGAAAACGTCGTTCAAACAGCAAGTTACTCAAGCGCACATTTTTATATTAATAACATTAAATAACAAAAAAAAAGAAATAATATTTTTAAAATATGATTGAGACTTTTGGGAAAAAGTTAATCATGTAAAAATAGCTTATCACACGTGTTAGATATTAAATGAATCAGAAAGGTTATAAAAATAAGTATGAAAAGTATATATATTGATTATATTAGTTAAAACGGAAAATTTCATACTAAAATGAGATTTCTCCGAAGAACGAGCATAGACTGATAAAATTTAAATACCGCCGACGACGTTTTTTTTTTTATTTCAAAAAAAAAAGAAGAAAAACG